AAAAGGTCAGCGGACGTGTCTTAAACAAATTGGTTAAAAAATGTTTGTAGTCAACATTGTTTATCACAGCTTGTTTTGGCAACAAGTATAAAAAATAGTAACAAGTTTACGGTAGATTTGAAAAATGTTGTACTTTTAGTTTAAGTTGCAGTTGCCAGAATTTCTTGTTAGGACTTTATAAATGTGGAACATTTGTGCTAGCAAAGATTAATATAGTTTCATATAACACCAGGTTTGTTTCGTATAATATTAAAATTCGTACGTATAAAATAAAAATTAATCGCAAAATCTGTTGGTAAGCGCATAACTCAACAACGCCTAGACCAATTTGATCAATTATTTTTTTTAAATGTTTGTTAAAGTCCAAGGATGGTTTTTTCGGCGAGAAAAATTCGAATAGTTGCCGGGAAAACCCCAGACCAATTTGGCCAATTCTTTTTTTAAATATTCGTTAAAGTCCAAGGATGGTTTTATGGCGATAAAAATTCGAATAGTTGCCGGGAAAACCCCAAAAACAGTCCTTTTCTATAGGATAAAAGTTGGCATTGAGATTCAATCATAGTTATAGTTAAATAGTTGAATCCGAGATGGCGCGCTGAAGTGCATTATTAGCAATTCTTTATATAATTAATTTCTATAAAATAAAATTGCGAATCTTATTGATAGAATTGACACATACTATGTTTAGAACAAGAGAGTAAAAACAAATTACATTGTTCTTAAACACTACCAGGACGAAGTTGCGGGCAAAAGTAAAACCAAAAACTAAATATTGCATGATTCGAGTATCATTATAATCAATGCAATTCATGTAATTACCATTTTTTGGAAATCTACGTACGATAAACGTAACGATCAACCCTTAAATTTGATTAAACTGCAATAAACTAGCAATTGCCCGTGTGCACACGCACGCAACCCTTCCATCGCAGATGCGGGCCCCGATAGAGCGATTAATTACGCCTTCGATATTTATTTGCGGTGCGTGCTCGCTAATGGACAAAATGGCGACAATTTCCCAAACGCGCGCGCTCGTAACATTTGCCCATTGGCATTTGTCACGTTCACCTCCACGTGTCCCAAGTTGTAACACAACGTAGGGTAACAATTGAAACGTACAAGAAAGCAGGCGAGCAAACCATCGCATGCTAACGCGCCAGTAATATTCTCACCTCGTTTCCTAACTCAAATGAAAACCTTTCCTATTGCTACGTAGTAGTTTCCTCATAGTTCCCTCATAGTTGTACAAGTATTATACGCAACTCTCAATAAACACAGCAGTGTAACTTTTCCTGTGTCCTCAGAGCTGCGTGACTCTTGCAATTTTTCTCGTCTTCATTCCATTGTATAAATACATTTCCGTCGACGTAAAATTTTCATTACTAGCGCCAGCGTCGAATAAATAGCATCGTCATTAGAACGAAAACAGAAGAGGAAAATAGACGCATGAAACACACCGCGCACATGCATCGAAAACAAATGGAAAATTATCCGGCGACCCGCAACATTGTGTTCAGAGTTTCGCATGTGGCGCCTCCACCATAGAAGGTTATTAAACCCTTAAACACGCAACGCGCGCAAAGAACCCTATTATTACTTGGCACGATGTGAATGAAGTATATTAAAAATGTTTTCAAACACTGCTATTAATAAATTATCAAGATATACCTTTAAAGTCCAAGGAATAAATAATTCGAATCAATTCAAGAACAATTCATGTCTAATTTAAAATGCTAAGTGATATATAAATATTTCACAAGTCACTAATATAAAAGAAAATATTTCTTGATATGTCACAGGATGTTTTTAATAAATAATTAATTGTATATGTCTAAACTCTGTCTAAAAATCAAATGTTATTAAAATTGTCACGAACATAATAGAAATATACCTACCTACGTCCAGTGGCCGTATGCAAATTTAGATCTAATAATCGCGACGGGTGCTTCAGTAAACTCAAAAATATATAACATGTATAACGTGAATTATGCATATCTTGCGCTACACCTACGCATACAACATTGGCATGGAGGGCAAACGTGAAACATGGCAACTGGCAAGCGTACAGTGCGGGATAAACCAAAAATGAAAACGAAACACTGCTACACGGTTACGCACAACCTAAATTTAACCCTGGAATATCAGAAGATGTTTGTAAATACAGAGCTGTACCAATAAACAAAAAATAAAAATTTCGTAAATAAAAAATCTTCAAATGAGAAAAATTATATGTTCACATCTTGTACCGTAACTCAAATTTACTTTTTTTTTAAATTGCCAAAAATCCAATTTTTTTTGTTGTTTTCTGATAATTTGCTTGAATTATTTGATATTTCAGGGTTAACCACAAGAAAAACACTGCAACAGTGAAACACTGAAAACTCCAGTAACAAGTATCCTCCAAATATGCTGAGAGCATGGTGCATGACCTGCTGTTCCACTGTCCTGTCGGTTGCGCGGCGGCGGCAACGGCAGCACCCGTGGCTGTGACTGTGCGTGCCGTATGCATAATGTACACGAGCCGTCGCCGGCGCCGCGCCTGCGAAAATCGATAGATGCAAATGAAAGGAGACTGGGCAAACGCCGCACACCAGACACGCATTACGTCCGCTACTTTCACGCGAGTTTTATAAACGAGATATCGGCCCAAAAAGCGTTTGCCTCGTCATTACCAAAGTGACTTTCAACTCACAAATGCGAACACTGACAGAAAGGCTTTATATTTTCACCTGGAGGTAATTACCAATGCTATCTGATAAAGTTAAAGTTTATAAGACATTTGAACTGAATGCGAATGTAATGTGTAGCAAGCGATGAAATTAGGACATTCATCGAATCTGTTTTCGGTATTTTTGGATGTTCGCAGAGCGTGTTTTACGAGCTGAACGAATTTAAAATTGGATCACGTACGACTTATTTAAAGCGAAATCATAAAATGCTTCAAAATTAAAAGCGTCGATTTTTAGTCGCAGATTGCATTGCTTTGTTTCGCAATCAAGAGTAGTTTGGAAGTATTTTCGCCTGAAATTGAACTTTAACGACGCTTGCAAACTCAAACCGTAAATTGCTCCAACGCCCTCAAGATCCCATTGACCTAGTACACACAGAGCAAGCAAACTGCAAAAGTAAGCACCCTTGTTTCGCACTGTGCAGAAGCGCTCCTCAAAGCAGACCTCCGAGTGATCGTTGCGGATGTGAAAAGTAAATTTGCTAATTTTGGGTTGTTCTCGTCGACGACGTTGTTTGACTTGCTCTACTCTGTCGTTTTCATGTGTCGCGATCAGTGGTGTAGCTGAGTATATCGAGTACTGACAAGGATCCTCTATTTCCGTTAAAAAAAGAGTAAAAGGCAAATATTTCAAGTGTTATAGTAAATTTCGAGCAAGAAAAATAGCGTGGTTAGGCATATTCATTGCATGGTTAAACAAACCACAACTATCACTGAAAATATTCAAAGTTGCAGAAAACTCAAGGTCATATCTACAATTTAACACTTCAACATTTTCCTCAGATAGGTTTATGAATTAAAAAATCAAAAAATAAAATTTTCAGTATTTTAGATCCTAAAGCATTACAAAATATATAAAAGCTACGCCACTGGTCAAGATAATACAGTACAACCTTAAATTTCAAGTAAATCATAGACTACCATCAAAAAAAATAAAGATTTCAACTAGAAATCAAGTTGAATTATTCACCAATTCACATAAAAGTAAAATAAACAATCAAACACGTTATATTAACTTTATGACCTGTAGAAAAGTTAATTTAAATGAAATTGTAATCGCCCGAAATACCCGCGTGCCAAACACCTCCGGCAAAACCTATTTTTCAGTTATTTTTACGAGCTGGCTTTAAATAAACACTGTCCCAATGCGACAGGCAACGCTCTCCAAATAGGCATTTCACATGTCAAACGCTTTCACCGATCGCGGGATCGCTCAAAGCCGGAATTATTTGAGGCAAACGTACACAAATGCAGGTTGAAATCAGTGAATGGTTTTAATTACGATGTTGACAGTTTTAAATTTCGTTAATTGCTCCCTGATGCTTTTCATGCAGACGCAGGAAAGTTAAACGGTGCAAAAGTTACTTAATTATAAAATACGCACGCGCTGAAACTGTCTCCTTTGTGGGGCAGACTAGCGGAAAATTATTCCAGGACTAAAATTATTTTATCAATTTAACATTTATTTAACTAGAAATTCCGTTTTTTGCTTTTTTTTTTCTTGAAAAATATTTGTTAATGTAGTTGACGATTGGTCATTTATGCAGCTTGTCATAGGAAACCCTTGGGGTCGTTTAGGGTCATTCCCCAACCGCAAACCTAGCAAACATATGCCCCTTATTTACGACCTTATAAAATAAAGTTTAATAAAAAAAAATATTTTATGTTTTATGCCTAAGGTGAGTAAAAGCAGAAAGCAGATCAAGATTAAAACGTCAATATGTATGCGCATGCACCAATTTTATAACCACACTTATGCCCAAACCCAACATGCTCAAAACACTAAGAGTAACAGGCTCCTTGGTTATTTATTCGCACGTAGTTGGCTGGACGATCTCGGCCCCGCTGAATAATTCACGCGCGCGCACTCACTAAGAGTGGACGATACGCTCAACGCCAACATTCGACGTGTGTGTATTTATGACATGTGTTCAGATAAAAAACACCCGGTGTGTAGGATAAATGAGAGCGATACGAACACGTCACTCCATTCAAGAGTCGTCCCTCTTTACTTCTATTCGTACTTCCAGGTTGGTCATTTCTCACATCACGTTCGTAGTTATAAATGTTTTCTTAGGATACAGGATAAAAATAACCCAGGATATCGGATACTGCAATTTTCAGTGAATTTATCTACGCTAGAGTTTAAAGATAAATGATTCTGATTTAAGTAAATGTCCTTGTTTTACTTTTAGTGAAATAAAACAAAGTTTATGTCTCTATTTACATGGAACCCTTTTAATTCTGTCTTTGTTTTTTTTTTTTTACTGACCTTGTTCATCAAAATCCGAATCGGAGGAAGTAGATGAGGAACTACTGCTCGCCGCCGCCGAGGGCGTCCGATGGGCGATATTCTCCTTCTTGCACACTTGTGTTAGAGTTTGTTTTTCACTTGGACTAGACACCGGCCCGGTGGCGGCAAAACGCCGACATTGTCTGAGTACTAATCTATTGTGCACGCACTTAACCTGAAACAAAAAGAAAATGAATTAAAACATTTTTACCACATAAATTTTTAATTTCGAAAAAATCTCATTTTCTTGCCAACAAAATGATCTTTATTCCATTATTCCAGTACCCACATAAATTAAACGCCCGACCACAACCGCTCAAACGACCTTCGCTTCGGTGCCAAAACCGCAAGATCCTCCACCATCCTCCCTAACAGTGAAATCCTTAAATGCAATTCACAACCCATATTCACAAATTTACTCTCGAAAATACATTTCATCCATTTGTTCAAGGACAATAATATGTACAACAGAGATATCTAACCTCAATCCTCAACCAACTTCTGTTGATTAATGTATGTTGAATAGAAACCCTAATAGTCTTAGTTTAAATATCATTACAACCGTCACGCAGAGCAAAACGCGCACGCGTCCCATGAAGATGAAGACAGAAGAGAAAATCCCCTAACGCGTGCAGGAAACCACCCGAGAATCATCAGTTCCGCGGATAACAAAAGCCCAAAGGATACAAAAGGTTCTAATGAACGCGGTAGCGTTTTGTTCGCATTGTAGTCGGGCTAATTAAATCAGCTGCGCAACGAGCGCAAACAATATGCATTACAATATAAGTAAATTAATTCATTAACGTAAAGTGTGTACAAGTAGCCTGCTTTTTCAAATCAAACAAACAAAACACTTGTATTATTTACAGATAAAAATATTTCCAAGTTTTTCTCTGAACTTTTACGGTAAAGTTACGTATGTTACGTTTGTAGTGTGTACTTGTACTTGAAAGAGAAGACTCGAGATTGACATGACGACGCTAAGTATGATGCATAATTGACAAACACGAATGGGGCGACGTGAGTTGGTTAACGGTTCAAATTGAATAATGCAATTTGAGCAATTAGCGGGCGTAGATCAACGGTGCACAAGCTGTATACATGAAATAACTTCCCAGAATTACTACTTGTGGGGAGATGAATTATTTATCCTCATAATATAGTTAAAATCAACTAAATTTTGATGAATTAACATTTTCTATCATTATACTCGGAGTATTTGAGTTTCAAGACAAAAGGTTAATATTGATTAAGACAATAAACTTAACTGTAGTTTTGACATGTTTTAAGTTAATATTTGCTCATTTTAAGACACACCTTACATCCTATAGAGTAAAGAGAATATTTAGTTTATATTTTTCTATGAAACATTTATTTGACTGAAAGATACTTGTTGCTAATCGGAAATAAAGTCTATCCAAAGCTTTGAGACTTATAGCAACCATAGTCGACAGTAATACATTCAGCTCAGTCAAAGTAAGCACTAAGAGGATGTAAATCCCAAGTGCGCCCTTCAAATACGTCTTCCCTTGGGACAATATCATCAGAAACGACAGAAGCGGAAATCTCAAGATAACGTCATATAATATTCCTAACTAAAAAATATCTACTTATCTAACTTAAATCTATAATATAAAAATGAATCGCAAAATCTGTTCGTAAGCGCATAACTCAACAACGCCTAGACCAATTTGGCCAATTCTTTTTTTTAATTGTTTGTTAAAGTCCAAGGATGGTTTTTACGGTGAGAAAAATTCGTATAATTGCCGGGAAAACCCTAAAGACAGCCCTTTTCTTTAGAATAAAAGTTGGCATTGAGATTCAATCATAGTAATAGTTAAATAGTTGAATCCGAGATGGCGCGCTGAAGTGCATTATTAGCAATTCTTTATATAATTAATTTATTTAAAATAAAATTGCGAATCTTATTGATAGAATTGACACATACTATGTCTAGAACAAAGAGAGTAGAAACGAATTATATTTTTATTAAACACTACCAGGACGAAGTCGCAGACAAAAGCTAGTGTAATATAATATTCCTAACTAAAAAATATCTACCTACTCATCTATCTTAAATATAATATATTATTTTGTGTGAGGAAGTTGTACTTTCAATGCCGCCTCTATCTGATTACAACTTTGATTGCTTTCGTAACTTGTTATAAATAATTGCAAACTCAATTAGCCAACCACTCCGACAGATATCTACCATCGAGGAATACGCACGTCGGGTTAGGTTAATTAAATTGAACAACTTGTGAGTTGAAACAGAAAAACTTTTTTCCCAAAAGAACACGCCGTTGTTCAAATCCGCGTATAGCGAAAGAAAACACAAAGAGATCGATAGCAGCGCGTAAGTTGATTACCTTCACGAACAGGTAAATTAGCGCACGTTGTAATTTTTCGAGGGTGCCCTCGCCGAGTAATGAAAAAAGTCATAATTCGCCTAATTGTACGGGAAATGCGCGGATTAATAATAAAAGTGGTGAATGTGCGGTGTTTTATCACCGGAATCAATCGTGATGCAATATGACGCATACTATACCAGATAAATGGGTTTCGTGAAAATATTACATAATTCGGCGAGTTTTAATTATCTTGATAACAAAATATAGATTAATATTACGTATATGGATATACAGCGTAATGCAAAGTTTTATATGAGGGCAGGAAACCCACCATGAGGCAATCGAGTGGATTAAAAAGCTTATACGCTTTTAGAGATTACAGATATGTGCATATTTCGGAAAATGTAGCAGATGTTGTGGGAATACACTATCTAATAGATTTTCAATTAGTTTGAAATAGGTATCAACTAATGTTGCATCATTTTAATTCACTTTTAAATGTATTACTTCCACTAAATAAATTATCAGTTCATTGCTATAATTAATGAATAAATAATTATTCAAAACTGCTTGTGTTATACTGATGATTCACTAAAATTATATTCCTAATTAAATTTTAGATCCACATAAGCAAGGAATATGTTGATCAAAAGTATTTTACAAAAAGTTATTAACATTTTATAAAATATGTTTGTAAACAGCCGTAATTAGACATAAATTGATTCTAACTTTTAATAAAAATTTGTTCAGAATTTAACACTGAAAAAAATTCTGAAGAAATACTTAAAGAAAATTCATTAGTTTTCGAGTAATAAATTAATAATGCCATGAAACTAAATAAAAATTCACTATTTAATGATTGCAACTATTATTTTATACTGTAGAGTGTGATATACAACCTCATATAAAAAGAAAAACTTTGACTATTTTCGTATTACCACATTATAAGTTCATAATTGTACATAAATTGGCATATAAATAATTGATAAATGGAATCTGTTATCAATAAAAATGAGGCATAACCAGATTCACAATTTAACACTGATTCATTTAAAAACAAATACTAAAAATAAAGTTATTAGTTCGCGATTAATTAATCAATTAATAATATTTTGTAAAAATTCATTCCAATTTGAATTAACCTTGAGAAATTTGTACTAAGAGACACGTACAAATCTACTATATAAAACCACTGACTATATTAGTATAACCAAATTATTATAAACTTTAAAAATATGTAAATAAATATGAATGAAATCATAAATATAAATCTACAACCGGACTATCACAATCATCACTCATCACTAAAACAATACTCATCCCATGTACAGAATGAGTCAATTTCAAACATTTTGCCAACTCAACCATACCCAAACAAACGAACGCAACATTATGACTCGTAATCGCATTACTAATGTTATAAATTCCAATTACGGCTTATATCATGCTGGCAAACCCGATACGTCATAACAAAACGTCAAAAGAAAGTAAATTAAAACAACCAAATTAATTTTCATATATTAATACAATATAATTAAGCAAATAACTAAAAATTAATTTTCTCCCGGATTTAATAAACCACATCCAGTTGACAATCAACTTTTACTTAACTGCACGCAGCTGTCAAGCGGCTTTGGGATTAAACAATTTAACATTACATTGTACAATTTATTTAACAACAGCACACAGCAGAGAACAAGTTCCATGACATTGACTACAGCTGATTGCCGCATCGGACGTGATCATGTGTGCGTAAGATTCTGGTTCTGGACATGCTATGCTATAACCTCTTTAACCTTTCGCCGACAATCGACAAGAAACTCAGATTATTTATAAAAATATGCATTAATCTCGGACAAATTGATCCAGAAAAATATAAACAACGCAGAACCTCAAGAAATGTATACTAAGTACTCGTATTATCATCATGACATTAACTGATAATTTAGATTTAAGTTTTAATTAATAGCGTAGAGAAATTACTATAAAATCATCGATAGCTTATCGTTGTCCCACATTAATGATCAATCGAATAAAGTTTCGTAAATAACTAACATCAATGAAACTATTTTTACTAAATGAAAGCATTCCGAATTGCAATCAACGAAACCTTCATTAATAATTCAATAATTGTTCACATTGTTGAATTGTGGAAAGAATACTCACATAAACAGAGCTAATGGCAACAAATGAAAGCGAAACTGATCAATAGCAGCAAAAATTAACTTGCGACTTAAAATAAAAACACTAATCGATAAGAAACACTAATGGTTTTGAAGTGTAAACAATATTAAAATATGACCCAGTTAGTCTAACGATTGTTTAAACAAATGCACCCATAACCTCAACATTGTATAGTTTTAATAAAAGCACCACGATGATTGTTATTAAACATAATTTGTTGAATGAAAGTGCGTGACACATTTCTACGCGCCCGGGATGTACGCATTGCCGACTGCAACAAAAGGGGTGTAACTCCTGCAGGAACAGGGAAAATACTCATCACAAACTTGTTGTGTTAATATTGTACAACAAGAATAATAATAATATGAATGTATTTTGTGTTGCCTGCTTGTTGAAACTTGACTAACTTACATTATTTAAATAAGAAGAATTAGCCGTGGCGTGTTGAAATCCCTGCACGAGTTCGATTCGACACATCGTGCCGATCCTGCGGACGATCTTGCCGCCCGCGAGCGCCATCGCAGGAAGAAAAGTATCCGCCGCTAAACTACCACCGCCCGCACGCACTCACAGCGCACTCTTCGGCCGCCGGGGCCGCGCAGATATCCGCACTGCTACACTCCCGCTATCGCGGGACGTCGGGGAGACCGCGCACGACACGGACCGGAGCACGAGCGCGACGAGACTGCGACGGAAGATGATTCGCGGTATTCGCGCCGGCGAGTATCCCGCGCCGCGCTGCCGGCGCAAGAACGATTGTGATACCGCGCACAACGCCGAAAAACGCCGGGAACTGAACTGACACACACCTGCCCGGATAGACTGCTCTTCGGGTGATCCGAAAAGGGTGCAGGTTTCGTTCACGTTAGGCGTGCAACTATGAAATGCACGAAACTATCGTAAATTAACATTCATTCAATCGAGTGTTAAATAATGATTTAATCCCACTTTAGAGTTGTTTTTTAGTGGTATTATCTAATGCGTCACATGATGTTTTTGTGATATTTGAGATACACCTGTGTTTCATAGATAATAATTGGTTTGTTTGGAATGCGTATCTGTATTTATCTTTTCGAGAAAATATTATTATTGACACGGTAGTGCCATCTGTCGTCAGAATTATAAAGACGAGTTTGATAATAAGATAGTATTTCGGTACAAAGTTTAGTATGTAGTTATTACTTGATTAATAAAGTGAAAAAAATTAATATGTGAATTTATTCTTCACACTTTCTACCTGATTTTATAAATTTGAAAGTTGTACTTTCAAAATAATAACATAACCACGAATTTTATATTGTTTACTCCAGGGGTTTACCAGCGGCTATTACAACATAATCTTTGTTTAAAGTGTTTAAATACATAAAAATGACTTCTCACGGAAAAAATGAGACGGAACTCCTGAAGAAAAACATGGAAAGTCAATTGGATAGACTGATTGAACAACTTAAAGACTTGGAAGAAGCAAAGTTAGTATTTAACTATTGTGAAATAAGTTATAATCGATTATTTATTATTGATTTAATATACTATAGGGACGAACTAGATGCAGAAGAGTATGAGGAAGCACGACAGGACACTCTGGACCAACTTCAGGAATTTAATGATAGTTTAGCCAAACTTGCAAAGGGTGATATATCATTGGTGAACACAATGGGTGCTATGCAACTTGTAAGTATTGATAAGGCTTAAAATAGATTGTTATAAATACTTTTTGTTATGTTTATATACAGGCTATCCAATCGAAAGCCATATCTGGTGCATTCAACACAAATGAAGTTATTAAGCTTCTTTTGGAAAAATGGAACCACAGCAATTAAAAGAAAGCTTTACTGGTTTGGAGAAAGCTGAGTACAAATTAATTAAAATAACCAAGAGAAAACGATAGAATTAAAGGGTGGAAATCTTAATTGTTCTAAGGCAATTGGGAGAGGTAAGTGTTGAACAGCTTTGCTTTCTGGATGAATACAAACAATGCTAATAATTTAAAGTAATGTTGAGTTTGTAGAGTGAATGAATAATTTTATCATGGGCAAGTTTTCATGAACAAATGAAGTCATTAAACTGTTTCGGAAAATGGAACCACAGCAATTAAAAGAAAAGCTTACTGGTTTGGAAGCTGAGTACAAATTGAACAAAATAACCAAAGAAGCTTTTGATAAATTAAAGGTGGAGATCTTAATTGTTCTAAGGCAATTGGGAGAAGAATTAAGTGTTGGACAGCTTTGCTTTCTGGATGAATACACAAACAATGCTAATAATTTAAGTAATGTTGAGTTTGTAGAAGTGAATGAATAATTTTATCATGGGCAAGTTTTCATGAGGCATTTTGAGAATTTTCATCTTATATTGCTTTGATGAATATGCTGGTATTTTTAAAATGTGCCCTGATTTGCCATTTTTGTTTATATTGAAGTCAAAATAGAAAATTGGATTATATATCAAATCCAGTCTAATTTTGATAGTAATATTATGGAAATGTAATAATTATAAATGTTGCTTGACTGATATACCTTTGTGGGCGATGTGTGCGGGCAAATATCAATACTTTTCCTATACATATGTACATTTTATACTGAAATTAGGAATTACGTTCCACATAATATTTTAGAAATCTAAGATTTTTAACTTTATATTTTTAAGCTGATGTAAAATAAATTTCTGGATATTGGTGCCTGTCGTTTCTCTGCGGCTACATCCACCGATACGCGGAGAATATTTTGATTATCTATTCAATGACTCTGCAACAGAAATGTCTCATTGTCGAAAATTAATTTAAATTTAAGTTCAGTTCTGGCTTAAGAGAAAATTTAATTTAAAACATAACTTCTGTTTCTTTTTTACGAACATTTTATGATAGCAGAAACGTTGAAATCAATTTTCACAAGATGTGGGTTTCTTTTGTCGCCCTATTCCAGAACTATAATCAAAATTACTTTATTTCTGTAAGAAATAAAAGTCTGAATTTTCTACAGGATATTAGAATTAAATCACTTCAAGTTTTCAAAAAAACATGTTATAATCTGCCAAATAATCAGACATCGATGAGAATACAAACCAAATGTACTCCCAAGTACTTAAAACCTATACCCATAGGTACAACTCGTCACTAACTATATAATTTGCAATACATTTATAATAAATCATCAAGGCAATTGATAACATTAGTATGCTACTTCCCAAATGGTTGCTTGCAATCAAATGTCTTAATATCAACTCCAAGTTATAAAATTATTTGTTATTGATCAAATTCTTTTGCGTACAGTGGAACTAAAGTCAAATTATAAACATAGGAAAGAATATTGCGACAAAAAATAGTTAATTTGTATAACTTGCTGCAACTATGTTATGAACTGCGTCCTAGCAGAAAATCAATCGTCCATAAGTAAATGTGTTTTATGTTATCATAAACGTGTGCATATTGTGCACCCTATGTAGGCACCCCCAGCAGTCAAACTTTAACATCCCCAATTGTACAAAGCATGTACCATGATATACCAAATCGTGCCAGAAAATAACACACATCAACAACAATCGTTGAGTCAACATAAATAAAATTATAAAACCAAGATAAGTCAAAATTAGATAGAAATAACATTTTTGGCTAAAATATTACAATTGTTGCAATTATTTTGAATGTTTTCTAAAAGTTGACAAAGTGTTAGACTGGCACAACTTATTGACTTATTGGCGCCCCGCCATCAAATATCATTGTGATTTCAACTGAATTTTACATCGAGATTGTATAGGTATTTCTCTAACGTTTATCCTTGCGCCTGCAAACTTGCTTATGCTCGGCCTGCCAATGCTGTTGTTGGCATGTCGGCGAACAGTACGTCGTGTTCCAGCAGCAATGATATATCGCGTCCTGCTCACAATTGAAGCACTGAAAACAAGAACATAAGTAAACCGAAAAATGTATTGGATGAATGGACTTACCCATTGTTTCTTTTTGGTCTCGGAAATTTGCGCATTATGTGACTCAAACAGTCTTTTCAGTGTTTCGTTATGTTCGTTCTGTATTCGATCAATTTCCGCCTGCATCGAGTCCATTGCGGTGACGATTAACTGCTTAGTGTTGCCTTTACATAGCTCCAATTTACGCCTCATCTAAAAATATTTGATTATTATAACAATATTTATTTCATAACTTTGTATTACCTTCTCAACCGCATCGCTATACTGCTGGTCTAACTTTTGCATGCCAGGCTCCTCGCCCTCTCGTAACAACTCAGTGGAACTTGAGACCAAATTCTGACTAGGGTCATGAAATTCGGTGAAGCCCTCCCGATCGTCATCAATATCCGAAATGTTTATAACATCGGTGTCGCGAGATTTTGGAGGTGTGGCCGTTTTCGGCGGTGATTTTTCAGGCGTAGATAATGATAATTTCCGTGTCTTTTCTGGTACTACAAATTACATAATCATCATAAACACACTAAAATTCATAATTAAAATTACACTTACCCTCTTCATGATATGAAACTTTCCTTTTAACTCCGCCAGCTTTAACAGGACTTTTACTCGTCCTCGGCTCATCTTTCGTGTTGATGTCAATTGCCAAATCATCGTGAAACTCGTAAACATCGTCGCTCGTGCTTGACATACTCGTGTTGGTAGACAACATTGCAGAAGAATTAAGTGACACATTCGACAAAGTCGAGAGATTTGACTTATTTGCAACAGACGCAGGTTTATGATTCTGATTAATCTTCAGCGTCGGGGCCGCAGCCTTTTTGGGCTTTGGCTTCGCTCTAGCTTTCGGCGTCAGTTTGATTGCGGCAACCTCGCTCGGATTCTCCAACAATCGCTGGTGCAATCTCAATTCCTCCATCGCCTTGTTGAAACCCGATGACTTTTTGATTTGCAGTTGCGACATGTTTGTCGTTATTGGTTTCACGCAGTTCTTTGGTAGAATCGCGCGTTCGTACTTGCCACCGAAGAAGCGCACGTCAAACGTTGTATCAGTTTCTTTAATCACCTTCAAAAATATATACAAATAAGTAAATAAGTAATAGTTAAAAATATGTAACTATGTTATACCTTTGCCGGCCAATACGGATATCCCTTCTGTTTAGCAAAGACCAAACGATGAGGCTTTCGACATGGCAAGCAAAACCATTTTGATTAATCTTCTCATTGCTATGACGATAGCAATCAACGCAGTTCTGCAACTCAGCGATGTCGTACTCCATGTCTCTGATCATAAACTCAGCGGCGCCATGTTCCTGTGATTCTGTGCCATGGAAAATGTCAATATTATGCAACATTGTGAGCACGTCAGCCTTAAACTGCGAGAAATTCTTGTAGTCCTTCGTGCGTATCTTTAGCTCCACCGCTGCCATGTCCATATGCGTGTAGAACAATTGCCCGGCGCGCCAGCTCATCTCCGCCGGAGTATACCACTCGTGTTTTAGCATACCGTTTAGATTACTTGTCAAATGATCTGGCACCTGCAACATCTCAGAAATATTACTGGATTCTAAAAGATTTGACAATGCTTACCCATGATTTAATTCGAGTTAGAATAAAGCTCAGTAAATAGTTAAACTCGTCGATATCAAGGCCACTTCCCGGGTCGCATTTGTTCATATTGCAAATGCTGCACAGCGATTCGTCATAAATGTAATCCTTAACGCTGACTGGCGCATCGTCCTTCTTACTTTCCACGTCTGGCTTCTTCTTCCCGTCAACACTTTCGGCATTATCAGTCTTATCCGAATCTTTCAAGGCTTTATCGTTTTCGACTCCTCGGTATCCCCATTCTCCTTACCCTCCGCGTCCCCGTCCGCCAGAGGATCTTTATCTGTATTCGTTTTCGTCGCTGTTTGCGTGTTTGAATCATTCGAAGGCTGTGTGACTTTCGGCACGTTGAGAGAAGGGAAATTCATGATCTTGCGACTCGCCTTCCGCGAGCACTCCGCGTGGAAGACATGATAGCAGCCGGCGCATGTGATCACGTCTCCAGCCAAGTGACATTCGATGCAGTACCAGTCGTAACCGTCGTCGGCGGGCTACAAAACCACACAGATAATTAAGTTATTTTGGCCGATACGCGCTCGGATCGGTTACGTTTTTGCAGTTTATAATGAGAGTGGAGCCGCGTACCGTCTGCAAGTCTCCGGCCTCCTGTCGGTTGATCTTGAAGGACTCAACCTCGGTGCCAACGTTTGAACCCTTCTGCGCGATGCGCTTCACCTCGAGAATCAGATCATCCTCGAGCGTCTGCTGAATGTAAAGCTCGGCCTGCGCTTGGCTGCAATTCGCGTACTTCTGGATGATCTTCACGAGTCGTGCCACATCTGTTGTCTGTCGCTGCACGGTTGACGACTTGATGGCGTCCCAGACATACTGCACGCTCACAGGATCGGCGCACCTACGCACCGGCATCTTGCCTGAAACACAATCGCAATTTTTAATCGGCTAACCTCAACGCATAGATCGTAACGTGATATGCGCAGTAATTAGAGGGGAGCTCAAATAGAATTCTGATTTGTTTATGATAAACAATTGCACACACTTAAAATAACATTCTAAATAGGCTAGAATGACAACAAATAAAGAACGGCAAAGATATGAGAAAGCTGATAAGTGAAGAAATTCAAATAAATTTAATATGCAACTAGATTTACTGCATAAATACAGCATATAATTATGAAAATAAGGTACTAAAATCAAAATAAACTACTGTAGTCAACTAGGAATTTGGAATAACTGTACATTCACGACTCGTAACTTCCAACAGCACCACAATGGAACAACCAGCAGGTTGTCCAGTGATAACAGAATGTGTGTTCAGTTAAGTCACCCTCATCATCATGTTCAATGTTTCTATACAGCATGTTCCAAACAATCATCCAATAACATCACTAAAACATTAATTCCAATTAAAATTTTGAATTGTTCTATTGTCACTCTGTACATTAAGTATTTTTATATATTTTTACTCATTGGCAATATTGTAATCGCCAAGTTTAACAGTTATTCATTGTCAGAACTCAACTCAACTCAAAAGAGGTCCAAACAGTAATTACTTCAGTGCCACCAGTGTAACCAGTGTTCCAAGCATTAAAATTATTGTGAAATAAACATTATTAAACTAAAATTAGTTTATAAGCAAAATGCTAACCATTGACTTGATTATTGGCATAATTCTAATAATAATTGGCGGAACAGTGTTGGCGTACATGACTTACACCCTCATTCGCAAGAAACACATTAAAATGTCACCTTTATACATCTCAGAAGCATTAGCAACACTAATTCTGGGAATATTCTATGTGGTTTGTGCATGTATTATTGGTACAAACTCAACTATTACAATAACTATATCGCCGGCAACTCCACCACCAATTGAAATAAATACAAGTGCAACATTGAATCAACCTCAATACGATCCTGTGGCAGAAAAAGCCCTACGAGATTTATTCAACCCGAAAAACTTCCAGAATGGCGACTCCAATGTCACATTCACATCTGAAAGTGCTGTAATATCAAATACCAATGAAATACTCAATGAATTCATTGATTACTACAAAAAGCTTCGAAAATTCAACGGTTGCAGGCGGTAATTCAATTCGTAAACTCATAGCGATAAATCGACTTGGCAAGACAATAATAGAACACAACAAGCGAAATAAACTCCGCAAAGGAGAACTCGATGATGTTGAATTGTCAACAGAGACTGAGTTATTAAATACTCAATCAGGATCATCTCCTGCTACCATTGACGATGAAGACTGTAACATGTACGATGAAGTATACTTCAAGTACATAATGCTAGTAGTCGCTTTCGTTTACGGCATTATTTCCTTATTCAATTCGACAATTGAATGTAAATCATGTGCGCAAGTATCACAAAGTCTCCCGGCAAATGACGACAAAGTTTTCATCTCGAAGCAGAACGATGAAAGCGACGATGAACCGGAACCAAAGAAACGTGACTTCAAATCGATTGTGCAAGTACTCCTAGCATGGTTCCTGCCAATTATTTACGCAATAATCGTCACTTTGACGATGAAGCCATCGGAATTACAAGCGGATTTGTTGTTCGACATCACACAATTCACAGATTCACCTAGCGACATCATCAATATTATTGAAAACCCTTTAAATGTGACTAATATTCAAGTAAATCAGAATGAAAGTAGGGAAATTGACAATGTAATCGACCGCATTTACGATATTATGCAACAATTACAAGATAATGCTAATAACGCAACAATTGTTGAAATCAATGGAACCGAAAGCAATCAAGCACCGTATAATATTTTGGATACTTTAAACACTTTAAAAGAAACATTACCAACAAATAGTAAAGATGTCCCCGAAGATAAAGTGGAAAGCACTGAAGAAATAGAAAAATCACGCCAATTCAAGCAGGCATTTACAAATAGTCCTACTAAAAAGAAGAAATAAATCTCTCACATCAAACAAATCGTAAATGCAGTTTAGAGATGATGCCCATCAAGCTGCACACGCTGATTGTGTTTGTTTTGTCATATTTTGCGACAATTTTCTACGCCAAAGTGACTCACACCAAGCTGAAACTAGTAAACAATGAAGAACAAGTGAAAGTCCTTGGCAAATATATTTTGGCCTTTGCCTCGTTGTGGCTGCCGTCGATGTTGGAGGTTTTCATACGAAGTTACTTAATGGATGCGAAGACAACTGTTGCAACGGATTTAACTCTTGCACTTGGCAACATCACTCGACTACTGGCGAATGGCATTAATGTCAGAACTGTGCATCGAGTCGTCAAACAGTTTAACAACGTGCGACCCGCCACTGAATGCGTTTGAATCGATAAGGTTTGATACAGTGGCAAACAAATACAAAATTAATCAATATTTATACTTAAAACTTAAACATTGTTAGATCAACACAAGATTCTAGAAGAAATCTGGTTGCTATGGCAACCTGTAGTTGTTTACACTTATTTATTATTATTTTTGTTAATAAATACACCTGTTTGCGAATTGCTTCTGCTTGTAATAAATGCATTCGTGATATTGAGTTGCATCGTAATTGTGTTTCGATTTCCTACCTAAAATAGCCGAGCGGAACGAGTAACGAGAAATTACAAACAGGCTGAAAATGTTTCTTGTGTGTGCGCCTAAATTGTTCGCAAAAACATTATCGCAACGAGGAGTATGATAAGAAACGTATTGTGACGGCGCTAATAATCAACGGCGTGCTATTAATTACGCGCCTGTGGCATTCATTCGCGGATTGTTTAAACAATTACATGTAGAATCATGCGTATGTTCGGAAGAGTGGAGCCACTTTGACCGTGAAATATAAGCTTTTCGACAAAGGCGTTGGCAAGGCGATATATTGGAAAATTTGCTCTGGTTTCGCACGTACCTTACGTATGCGGCTTGATGAATACTGGAGCTGCACTAATATTTATCAACAATTGTATAAACATAAACCAAAACAGAAGAATCGACACGAACTCGGCCCGCGGCGGCCATTGCCCTACTACTTCTGCAAGTGCACCAATAAAAAATCTAGTAACTTTGGTGTAATTCTGAAACGTCACATTATATGTAAACGCCGCAAAACTTTCTACATATTTACTGGTCATGATAAATTATATTTGAGATATTTTATTTTGTATTTTGATAAGATACTTGAAGGTATACATTTTATAAGTATTAGAAGATAAACATTTGATTTCATTTATGCCAAAAGTTGGTAAAAGTACATTTAGGGATTTTTGTGCGTTGCAGTTGGTTCGATAGCCGTCATCTGTCGACGTCAGATGATTCCTCGTCACGCATTGCGTCGACTTCCCAAATCTTTTCCCGATCATTTGCATTTTTAATACACATTTTATTTTTGCGATCTCGGCAACAACATCAACAAAACATTATACACAATTTTCTCATCACACGCAAAATTATTATTATTGTAGGCTGCTGAAGAGAGCACTCTTCACGCAGCATAATTCCGGCCGATTAGCGCTTTATAGGTTAAGGAATTCTCTGTAAGCTCATCGAGATAACTATTAAATTGTAAACAAAACTATTAAATTTAAACCATGGCACCGAATATGGACGATGATCTACACATCGCAGTAATATGTTCGAGCAACATGAATCGCAGCATGGAGGCGCACAACTTCCTCGCCAAGAAAGGTTTCCAGGTGCAGTCATTTGGCACTGGTGACAAGGTCAAGCTTCCAGGCTCTGCAGCAGATAAACCCAACATCTATGACTTTGGAATCACATATGAAGAGATCTACCAAGACCTAATGTCCAAAGATAAATCATTGTAAAACTCCCTATCATTATCATTGTTTAACACCAACACTAATTTCACTAAATCTGTTACAGATATACTCAGAATGGCCTGTTGCACACCTTAGATAGAAATAGAAGAATCAAATCAAGACCTGAGAGATTTCAAGAGAACCATGATAAATTCCATGTGCTAATCACTTGTGAAGAGAGAGTCTATGATCAAGTGCTTGAATGCATGGAGAACAGAACACCTGTTGACAACACCATTGTGCATGTTATTAATTTTGATATACAGGATAACTTGGAGGAGGCCACAATTGGAGCATTTTTAATTTCAGATCTGTGCTCAATGGTAATAAGAAATATTAATAAACAAATCAAAATTACTCAGAACTAATTATGTTTTTCTTAAAATATTTTCAGCTGAGGAAAAGTGAAGATCTAGACAATGACATTGATGAAGTCCTGCATGATTTTGAAGAAAAATGCAAAAGGCCCATCTTACACAGCATAGTTTTTAACTGACGCGAATGTAATCGGATGAAGCTGGGCCACATACATCAAGTATTAACAATATTTCACAGCGGTTTTGTAAATTTATACAAAAATTAATTGCATAATGCGCGATATCATGGCTTTGCTTACAATGATTTAAAATTATGATGATATTCACTATTGATTGAAAACGAAATGATCTGAATGGTATATTTCACGTATCCCTCCATCTGTGTGGCCTAGAAAGCTAATGATTTTGCCTCTTTTGATCATTATTTAATTATTAATTACTTACAACATGCCCCATGTTGCTGACTTATTTCAAAAAGAACCAAAATGTTAAAATTATTTAAACTCGTTGAGATTGTAACCATTAAATAATTAACGTGCGAAATCGAATGTATTTTACATAATATAAACGGTTATTAATATGTAATAATTATAATATTACAAGCGAAATTACATCGCCGGTGATCTGTAATATTCCGTGTTGTTTTTTTCGAAAATTTTGATTAATGCTCATCTAATTCGCGATACACACGACGCAGTTTCTCCTTTTTCTTTTATTCTCGTGTTTATGCAGTTTTTCCACGGTTTTTCCATGCTTGTGCCCGCGGCAGCTCCGCCTAGCATTCCAGGCAGACCTGTTGCTTTTCCACGCTCACCCTTAGC